GTAATTCGCTTATTGTCTTTTATTAAATGTTTACTGTTGGCTCATTTGCTTCCGTAATAGACGTCAAAGGACGACCACATCTTGTTTTATCCCTCAAAGTTAGTGAACCATATTAAAATTTGTTATACCAGAAGTACACGTTGCCAGTGAAGAGCTGAGCAGAGAGGAGCTTTATCCATAAAAGCCATTTTTATATATTATTAGATATGTAGCTGGTACGAGTGAGTTGCTGCCGCAGAAGAAATAATTGTGGAAATATCGTTATACATTTGGAAGAGTTGTATTGTTTAATTAGGGATGATAATACATTCATTAAAATTGAATGATATATTATGACTTTCAAATAAATTTTTCGGTATGATATGCGCGCCCTCTACTGTAACTTAATTGTACTATGCCTATAACCTTCGTGCAAGTGCAAGCAACAAGTTGGCAAAGTTTTACCGCAATCTGATGAACGCTATGGCAGCGCATAAAATACGAACAAACAAAAATTATTTTTTATATATTACATAATAAGTTATTATAAATGCTTTTATACGGCCCATAATTGCGATTGATTAGGGCGCAAATAAGACTATGATTACTATTGGTGAATATTAAACACATAACATAATTCAGTTCCGTAGAAGTTTCATTTTGTTTATCTAACTGTTAAAATAATAGAATAAGATTCGACAGGTATTAGTTTGACAACGTTTTCTGATATCTTATTAGTTTCATCAACGTTATCAACATTATACCTAGTCAGGTCATAAATTCTGTCACATCTTTAATATAAAATAATTGAAACAAGTTTATTCATTATGTAACCTTTTATACACCAAAATGTACTTAACAAAACATAGATTCTTATGACACTAAAGTTTATTCAAAATGACCTCCGTGATTTTGAATACAGGCCTTCAATCTGCGCGGCCAGTCGTCTATCGCAGCACGAACGAGGTCCATGTCAATATCGGCGGCTGCCTTAATCAAGGATGTCTTGAGTGACTCCAAATTGGGATGAGGCTTTGAGCTTGCCTTTTCCTCCAAGTATTACCATATCTTGTAATCTAACGGATTCAAATCGGAACTGGAGGAGGGCCAGTCTTCTTGCCGGATGAAGTCGATTTCACGCGCCGCCAGCCAGTCATGTGTGCTCTTCGCTCTATGAGCTGGCGCCGAATCTTGTTGGAATACCCAGTGCCTGTTATTGAACATGGTATGAGAAACAAGTTCCACAAGATTCGTCAGGACTGTATTTTGATACACAACTGCATTCGTATTTACATATTTCTTACAAAAATGTACCTCTGTTAAGCCCCAATAAGAAACTCCCAACCATACCACGAGCGAGGATGGAAAATGACCTCGTTGGACACGCGGAATACGGTTGCTCGCTTCTTCACTACTGTGTGCGTGTACCTTATCATTTTGTTTGTTATAGCTCTCTTCTATGGTAAACATTTTTTCATCCGAAAAAAGAATTTCCCGATATTTTTTTCCCGCGTACCGCTTCAACAAAGCGCGGCATCTCTTCAGTTTCAGGTCCATTAGATGAGCATTCAAACGATGTCCTGTTTTTCTTCGATATGCCCGAAGCCCTAAGTCTTCATTTAACACCCTTTTCACCGTGGTTCTGCTTAACCCCATCTGAAGGGCCAACAGTTTCTGCTTACGTTTGGGATGTCATTGAATTCGCGCCTTCACAGCTTTTATCACTGCTGAAGTACTAACAGACCGAGGGCGACCACTTCTTGACCTGTCATCTACACTAGAGTCTTCATTGTATCGTTTGATGGTACGATAAATGAATCTTTTGGTTATATTCAAATTTTTCAGTATGTCAAAATTTTGAATTGGCGCGTAACCACAACGATGCAACGCAATAACTACAACACGGTCTTCTTTAAGCGTCCACTCCATATTTAAAAATGAGTAAAATTCTAAAAAGTAAACAGTATTATTTTTATGAACAATTCGAAATTCGAATTCAATAAACTTTTTTGTGGCCAGCATTCTAAAAGAAAAGTTTTTACTGTGTGACAATATTTATTACCTGACTAGGTAGTTCTTCATAAGTTCATTGCTAAATTTAGGTCTTCAATGGCTAACGAATGCCATCATACACGGTTCTGAGCCAAGTTTTGCATTTTTGGATTCTTACCAGGTCGTCACTCCATCTGTTAAAAGGGGATGGGGGGAGCTACACAACGCTTACTTTTTCCACACAGTCCAACTTGATGGTAAATTATTGCTTTGACCCAAAGACATCTACATCTATCCTCGATTACGAATCAAAATGCAGATGCGTTGTCACCCGTGAGGATTTAGATGGAATGCTTCGTTTCTAGTAAAAAGGGTCTCCGGTTCTCTACATTCACAATACGAAACACAGCAGTATTGATCTGCTATTTTACGCTGGTATTCTGTTAGAGCGTGGTCCTTCCCCAGTCGAGCCGACACATGCGTGCTACAACTATACCAGTAATATAGCTGCAGTATGACTTTACCACGTTCAAATCTGTATGTGGCTGTCACTCGCTGTTAAACGTTGTCTTCTAAGCCAACGAAATCAAAAGATACAGCCGTTTATGCCGCAAATTTTCGACATTCGCAAGGGAATCAAAACCTACAGGGTACTTCCCGTGAACTCAGAATCTTAAAATTTGGTACGAAACAACGTATTATAGCACAGATAAAGGAAAAATTGCGAAAAACATACATTTTTAATTACATTATGTAATAAAAATATTTTTAATAATTATAAACTCATAAACCTACGGATTTGTTCGGAACCCTCGGTGCGCGAGTCTGACTCCCACTTGGCCGGTTTTTTTATAGTATAAGAGCGACAAACGAACACACAGTCCACCTGATGGTAAATGCTTGCTGTGGCTTATAGACATCTACACGCATATTCGATTACGAAACAGATGCGTTGTCACCCGTAAGGATTAAGATGGAATGCTTCGTTTTCAGTAAAAAGGTCTTCGGTTCTCTACATTGGACATACGAAACACAGCAGTATTGAGCTGCTTTTTTACGCTCGTATTCTGTGAGTTCGCGGTCCTTCCCCGGTCGAGTCGACACATGCGTGGTACAACTATACCAGTTATATAGCTGCAGTATGGCTTTACCACGTTCAAACCTGTATGTGACTGTCACTCACTGTTACATAATATCTTATATATTAAACACTTAATTTTTATTATTTTGTTATTAGAATAAAATCGAAGGTATAACCATTATAAAAATATAAACATTTACTACATATTATATAGAAATTTACTAAGAATATTTCGGATTTACATTCAGCATTAGATAAATTTTGTATTTATAAAATTCGGTGCAGTTTCGAATAAATGTTAAACTTTCTAAATCAAATGAATAACAGTCATAATTAAAATCATAATCATGACACTCTTTTGCTGAACATAGGCCTTCCTGTAAATTACCGTAATGATAAAAAACTTTCATTCTTTTTTATTAATTTATTTTTAATTATATTTTGTAATGTTCGTAAAGGGAATATTTGACACAGTCTCGACGCTTGGCAGGTGAGTTAGCACCCGCAGTTTTTCATTTGCTAATTATTATTAGTAAGACACTGACAAAAGTAATATTCAAAAGATCCATTGTATTGGCGATAAATTTTGATATTAAGGCAGATAGTATCAATAAATTTTCGTCGCTATTTAATTTATAACGAATAGGTAGGCTAGACCGGGGAAGGACCACGCTCTCACAGAATACCTGCGTAAAATAGCAGCTTGATGCTGCTGTGTTTCGTATGGTGAGCGTAGAGAACAGGATACCCATTTTACTAGAAAAGGGGCATTCTATCTTAGTCCTCACGGCTGACAATGCATCTGTATTTTAATTCGCAAACGAAGATAGATGCAGACGTCTATGGGCCACAGCAACCACTTACAATCAGGTGGTCTGTGTGCTTCTTTATTCTAAAAAAAAAAACTTAAACAAAGCAAATGATGTATTTACTGTGATAGCTATGTAAAGACTGTTAATAATTACTTAATTTAAATAGTGTTTATAAGTAGAAGAATGATGTTTTAAATAATCACTTAATGATTATAAAAATTTAACACACATTTATACGCTATACACTAACAAAACTTGTGATAGGTACATTCGTTGCAACCCAAACTAAGAGTATTTATAATCAAAATATCTATTAATCAATATTACGAATTGAAATAATATTTGTGGAATTTACATATTATGTAATTACAGAAAGTGCCAGTTCCATTTTAGGGTATATAAACCATTCATAAATCCAGCCTTGCTTAACACGGTTGGCTAATGGCTAATGCTCATTATTAAGTTTTTACAACGAAAATACCTATAAGTAGGTATTTTGGTTGTAAATACCCTTAGTTTTGGTTGCAGCGAATGTACCAAAAGTTTTGTAAAAGAGGACCCAACGTATTTTCGGTTACTATTTTATCTTTACATTTTATAAGACCGGATAAGCCAGGCCCACTGAATTTTATTTTTTTCTGAATCAATAAACCATAAATAAATATGATAATCAAAAATATGTACGACCACTTTAATGGCGACATATTTTTAATTTTACGAACTTATTTCTTTTAATGTTATTTTTTTAGATACAATACTTTGCTACTCCGGTTAATTTCAAGATGGCGAGCTATTTTATTTTTTACAGAAATTTTAACTTAATATTTAGTCGCGTTCCTTCGGGAAATACGCTCAAGAAAAGTTCTTCTGACGACCGTAAACGATGGATTTACCAAAAAATACAGTAGAATAAAAGTTTAATTTAAATAATTGATAATTATTTAAAGGAAACTTACCTTTAAACTCAACCATTATTATTTAATTTTTTGCAAAGTGCCAGGCAGTTCTTTCGCATTCGTTAACCATAATACTGCTTAATGGAAGACATATCAAAACTACAGACGTAATTAATTATTCGTGTATTATAATTAACAATAAATAAATTAAATTTGCGTTAAGTTAGTAGTCACTTTCGTTTAATGTTTGTAATAGAGAGCGGGAGCGGGAGCGGCATAGACGGGAGTCTTGATGACAGCTGGAGCAGCGGTGGGGGCAGAGTTGTGCACCACCGCGTTGAAGCCATTGTGATCATCGGCGGAGTATTCCACAGTTCTGATGGAGCCATCGGCCTCGTGAAACGAGTAGGATCCTTTGACTACATCACCATCTCGGGACTCTTGTTGGGACTTGTTGTCACCGGTATGACCGTCAGCGACAGAGTATGAGAAATCGTATTTTGGGTAGGCCTGCACAGAAAAAATTATCGTTATCTCGTCGTCCAGCCATCATCAATCTTCGACAAGCTAGGCGTGCATTTACTACTGTATGATTGAAGGGTAAATATATCGGTTCTCAGGAAAGACGATGCATCTGTAGATTTTTTGTTTGAATTTGTTGGCACATAAATATAAATTGCAGCAGCAAATTACTATCAAATGGACTACATGTTTGTTTATCATTTTTACATTTACATATTATGAGAACGTGCGTGCCTTGCCAAGCATGGCAACTGTTGCGAAATTCCCTCACTAGGCATCTATGAGGGAGGCCTATGTTCAGCAGTGGACTTTTATAGGTTGTAATGGATGGATAGATGGATTGTAAGAAAATTTAAACTTACATTTTCCTCTTCACGGTGGGTAAGAACTTTAGCAACAGGCACAGCGTAGTGGACAGGGCTGGTGTGGTATGCAACAGGGGCGGGCGCCGCATGGTAGGTGACGGCAGATGTGGCGGAGTGGTAAGTTGCGGGCGCTGGTGCAGCGTTGTAATAAGAGACGGGGGCGGCGTTGTAATAAGAGGCGGGGGCGGCGACGGCCAGCTTGGCCACAGGTGCGGTGGCTACCAGTTTCGTGGCAACTGCTTGTGGTTGATCATGGCGCACAATACTTTGAGAGGAGACAGCTGGGGAGTAGTGCACAGCTGCAGGCAGAAGTCCCGCATTGGACACTGCAGCTACAGCGCACAAAATGGCTACCTAAAAACAAAAGAAATACATAGCAGCAAAGAAATAAAACCAGATAAAAAAATATTATAAAATCTGTTTAAACTTACACTGCGGAACATTTTTGAATTAGAATAGCTTTTTATGCGTTGGCAAATTATGAATGGTGACTTTTTAATCGATTACCTTCTTATATACTAGTCAAATATACTTACAAGCACAGCTTACAAGTAACACGAATGGTAGTGGAAGTTGTCAAACATGCTTAGCGTAGGTCACGTTAGTTCATAAATAAAAGTATTCGCAAAAATGCCTATTTGGCAATTACGAAACATACGATACATATGATGACGTCACATTTAACATGTGTTAGGAATACAGTTTCAACAATAAAGCAAAAAATAACATAGAATTAAATCGTTTGCCGCCATACTCATAAAATTCTTAGTCCTACATTTACATTCACACTACATTTGTATACTATCGATCTGCCCCGGCTTCACGCAGGTGATATCTGGATTCTATAACAGCGCCACCTACCGGGTAAAACTATGCTTATAACGATAATAATAAGTACGAGCAATATGTTGACAAAGTTTTACCGCAATCTGATGAACGTTACCTATACCAGCGCATAAAATACGAAGAAAGAAACATTAATTTTAATAGATTAGATAACGATAATTAGCAGAAAATCGTATCTTATTGAGCAGTATAGGAATTTTTTTGTATTTTTAGTTAAAAATTTAATTACTTGAGTTGCTTACACCTTTCTTAAAGGCCGGCAATGCATCTGCAATTCCCCTGGTGTTGCGGTTGTTTATGGGCGGCGGTAGTCACCATCAGGTGAGCCGCATGCACGTTTGCCTCCTCTTCTATAAAAAATAAAATTGATTTTATTACATCTCTAAAATATCGTACACGCCTTGTCACGAATATTGGAAGCTCTTATCACATAGACATCACTGAATGAATGAATTATTATTTACCAAAGACTTGACGGCGTGGAAAAATATCTCAGGAAAGCTGGAATACCTGAAAAGTTTAAAAATATTTCAAGGAAATGCAGAGTTCACCAGATCACATTGGGGCAGTGCAGAATACTCGTACTATTTTTTTTTGCTTTAAGTACCTTTCAGAAATTAGAGGAGGCATGTGTTCAAAAGTGCATCGTATGTAAACTGGTATTTTACTTTTTAGTTTAACGAGACATTTACATAATAACCTGTGTATCTGTCTGCTTGTCTGTAACAAAGAAACGTGGGGAACAGCCTCAATCAGTAAGCGGAGTGTAAGTTGTCTTCCTCTAGAAAAGGAGACGACCAGGTAAGGATGAAGAAAATCAATGGACGCATTGTTTTGAGAACCGTGTTGCGTGGCCTATATTCAGCATTGTAACAATAATAGGGTGTAATGACGGTGAACATGATGAATGAAATATAAATATAGGTATATTATAATCATTAAATTACGCGGTGTTTATGTGATTTTACAGGAACTTGCCATGTGCTAGTTCTCAGGATCTCCGCAAATAGACCTAGGCATTTGAACGATATTGTAAAATATACCGCGTCTGTGGAAAAAATATTATTTTCAATTTAACTCACCAGGAGCTTTAAATTACTATTTTTTAATCAATGTGTTAGTAGACAAGTAAGAGTGCCATTTAAATATGTATGTATATCGTTAATTATTTACAGTATTAGAATAAACAAACATTGATATAATGAAGTCAATGCTTGAAATATAATGCATGAATACGTTTTATTTGTGTTGGTTTTTAAATGTGAAGAATACATTTTACAACTTAATTTCTGAATATAAAGGGATAGGTATATTCTGTTATAAAACGTGAGGATCACACTAACATGAATGTTATGGTTTTATCATATGTTATTTAACATAATATTTAGGTGTCGTGACCGCTCAGGGTGTAAACTTTAAACAAACCATATTTTTCTGTGAGCCATGCCATTCGGAACTTTATTAAAAAAAGACTGTATCCAGAAAAGGCTGAAAAAGAAATAAGTTTCAAGTCTTAGGAACTGAAGTAATACAAGGTTCAGTCCAGATCATAACCCTATTTAATTTATATTTTTCCTTACTACTAATTGTAACGTTGTTTCTAACTCCATGAGTCGATAGTGGTTGTTGGCCTTATACTTGAAACATTAATCCATGCAAAAAGTCATATGTTTTTAAAAATTATTGAGTGTTACAGGAGGATGTACTTGTGATTCCGCCCTGGCCGGGTGCTCCAAATTGGTCATGTAGAAGGCATACGACTTTAACCTGTACAAAAAGCGAGCTTAATGCAATATGGCATTCTCTACATGCTAACCTTGGCTAGAAAAGAGAGTGAGTTATGGGCAGTAAGTTTGTCATGATCAAATAGATTGTCATGATTAAATAGTTGTAAAAACCACAAATGCTATTTTAAGGTAGATGGATATTGGTTGGAACCTGAAACTGTTTATAAATTTCTAAACCATTTTACATTTATTTTCTACATAACGTTTTGCATGATACTATGAAACTCTTACAGAAGTTGGTTCTGCAAGGAGCAGCATTCTGCTAGACTTTTTATCCTAAACAAGTGGAGGAATATTGTTGAAAGGCAGTAATTCTCCAGAATGAGGTCGTTGGATTTTATTATATTTAAAACAGTGTTAGGAATTAATCCTTAATAATTAGAGACTTTCGTTAAATATGGTGGCATAATAACGTAAATAAGGGACTGAAAAATAAATTTTTGAAGATACCCGCTCCGGCTGAGGTAAAATATATATAAATTATTTTCTGAGTGCTGCTGATGTACTTACTTTTGCATTTAAATTATCTTCATTTTTATAAGCAAAATAAAATTAGAATGTTTTTTTTTAAATTTCAATAGCCTATGTGTTCTTTTGCGAGTATTTGTGATCTATCAAATCTGATGTAATGGCGGTCCCCGTCTTAGGCCTTATGGCCACATACTGAAGACTTCCCGAAACGTTGGTGTTTTATGTCCTGTCTTCTTTTACACGGATTTTTATTGATCTTTTTTGCCCTATATATGAGAGACCACATTCACAATCTAGCTTGTAGACCTGCATCTTGTAGAGAGTTATTAGAATTAACGGATGGTAAGAACTGAGTGAGTAATCTACTTCGTCGGTTTGTAAAATGTTCTAATGGAAGCACGCTTCAAGATGTAGCCAATCTTGTCTGTGACTGCTTAGTCATATGGTAGTACAGCAGGCACACGCTTCACTGTGGCCGGCTTCGCTCAGTCATTGAGACGTAGGCGCGGGACCCGACGCTTGTTGTCATGCAAAACCTGAGTGACGTGCTGAAAATCAGCGGCCAGGAGTGTGTTGTCACAGATCCTTCCTGCTATCGTGGGTAAATTTTTCTTCTGTGATGGATGACGGTAAGATTCGCCGTCTAAATATCGGTTTTTATAGGTCTTTTTTATATACATTGTGTGACCTATACTTGTGGTGGTATTAGGATTTCGAATGACTAACACATCTAGAAAAGCTAAGGAATTATTCCAAATTATTCCAACTCCATAATAATTCGACGTTTTGAAATCATGGAATTAAGATGTTCTAAAATGCAGTTACTTTGTCTGTTGGCAAGTTGGTAAAATTGTGAAAGTATCATCTATTTACCGCTTGTAGAACCTTGGGTTAACAGGCGAAGTGAGAAGGGCTTTCTCCTTGAATTCCTCTATGAATGTGTCGGCGACAATGTTAAATATAAGAGAGTCCATCGCTACACTATCTACTTGCTTGTAGAACTCTTTTTTCCACAATAGAAATCCAGATGTAAGGCAATGTTTGAGTAATACGGCACATTCTTCGGGCATGTTGTTTTCCTCTAGTTTCCTAGTTACAAAAGAGATGTTGATTGTGAATGTGGTCTCTTTTACATAGGGCAAACAAAGAGATAAATAAAAACCCGCGTAAAAGAACATATAGCTGACGTGAAACACCAACGTTCCGGGAAGTCTGCAGTTTGTGATCGTATCCTAGATAGTAACGGCCATTACGTCAGATTTGATATACTACAAAACCTCGCGAAAGAACATCAATTCCTATCAAGGATGAGTTCTGTAGTGAATGATGATTTCTGTAGTGTATGGGACAATCATAAAGACATTTTTTTTAAACTGATAAACGAAAGCTAATGCTTTTACCATAGCAAAAACAAGACCTTTTTAAATATTTTTATGTATTTTATCTATGGCATTAGATAATCAACGCTATTTTTTTAATAAATAGCATTCAGTATCAAAATACTCATAATATTGAAACATTGAGGCGAATCTGTAGAGATTAATTATGAGTAAAAAATCTATTTAACCTATTTAACGTGAGTTTATTGAAATGAAAGAAAATACATCCCAATTTCTGCCTGCTGGGGATTCTGTAATTAATAAAATTTAAACTAAACTCAAGTATATACAGTATACTTCTGCAATACCTCAGGACACATTAAGGTCATTTTTCGTAGATTGGATCAATAGGAATAATTATAAGCTGAAGGTACTCTGGGTTAAATTTGACATCGGGACGTCAAATTCCTCAGTCCTCCCATGAGCATGGGTGCTGGAAATATCCCGAAACGTCAGGAATTAAAATTAAGTAAAATCAACGCAATAAAATCCATAAAATTAGTTTTATTTAATGTGTAGTGTTTCCGTAAATATAAGAAATCATTATAAGAAAATAAATTTAATAAATAAAAGTAATAAATTAAGTTATAAAAGCAAAGAGGGCTAATAATATTTCGTTCACCAGATATCGCTAGTAGGGACTGAGGTGAAGTTTTTTGTTACACAATGTCATATAGCCTGAGAGCTGGCGACGAATTTCGGGAAGGTCCTTTGGGCAAGTTGAAATTGTGAAAAAAATATAATTTCGTCAATTGGCGAGTCCAGTCCCGCGAGTCTGGCAGATCGTTTGCGGTTATTTTGTTACAGCGCAGTATATAACATTTGCAAAAAAAAAAATCCAAAAAAAATTGTTCTTTTGGCAACTTTTTTATCTTTTAATTTAGTTTTTATATAATTCAAAAAAAATAATCCCAGACGTTTTTGTCGGTTATAAAGTATTACCAGACCTCTCCAAAAAAT